AAAAATAAATAAAAAAAATCCCTCCAGTTTATATCCCTGATCGTTAATATACCCTACAACTGTACTAATGGATATTTAAATCAACAACAGCGCTGTTTTACCGTGAGTGTCAAACTGTGCAAAAAAATGTCAGATGTACGCTGACAGCACTAGCGTTACTCAATACTAGATTAATAGATAGCGCCCCGAAATCTAAACATGTATTTTTGTACACTCCACCATTCGTGTTTTTTGTAGTGGATTTCGAAAATATTTCCAAMGATTTATTTTTAAGATGAACATTTATTCGGCACCAACCGAATTTAGCTCCTCCTCACTTGTTAATCATATAGTTATTTATTTATGACTTGTAATATTACTTATTTTATAGTTTTCTTGTTATTTAGTCAGATAATGCCACTTACCATAAACTATACAAATATCCAAACAATTTTCCTTCGCTTATCGGCGCTTTATTGTCCTGTTTTACAAAGCAATTTCGCACTTTTACACTTCGTAAAGACTTTTTTCCAACAAATTTCAAATTTCTTTATTTACTTTGCACTTTTTTCGCACTTGTTTTTCTCTATGCATGTATTTTCACACTCAATTAAGCGACAAGCACTTACTTATGCACACACACACCCAGCCATACATGCATACAAACATGCAAGCACACGCTTGGTGGTGGATCCTTTTGGCTCTCGCTATCAGTTTGAAATTATTTTTCTTTTGCTGAAATTTACTTATTTGTTTATATGCTTGGATRGATATTATTTATATGTATGTATTTGATGCACTCAAATGCGTGAAATTATTGCCGCTGTTTAAGTGGACTTTTTGCCGTTGYTGCTGYTGTTGTTGTTGTTGTGGTTTTGCCTAGTTGACAATTCATTGAGTAAAATTTCACTTTTGTTGTGTTGTTTTTTATGCACAAACGCACCTAACAAGTGTCCGTCGACACGGCAGAGCCTGTCTCTGGCGTACTGCGTAGCGGCCGGTGCTGGCGGTGGATGCGGGRTGTCGCGGASAAGCCACTGGCCGTCTGTCTGTCCGTTGGTGATGTCTATTTTGTTAGGCGCTGATTATCAGATTGAGCGTGAGCTCTTAGATTATTTTGTTGTGTGCGCGTTTGCGCTTCTATTTGGCTTGCGTAGTTTGATGGTCTTTCTGCGCGGCTGCAGTTCTATTGATATTTATATTATTAATTTTCACCGAAATATTTTCTGTTTAATTTGTAACGAGACTTCGCAGTTGTTTTAGTGCGYTTAAATTCGCGTTAACAGTGTATGTATGTGTGCTGTTAAGCGATTTTCGATTTTCAACACCAGAGGATTTCCGTTAGAGCAGCCGTTTCAGACGGCGTTCGGTCGATAACTGAATGCGCGGTGTTTCCTCACGCGGCCAACAACTTGTCACGCGAATTTCAACCGAAAGAAGAAGCAACCAGCGCGTCGGCGCAGCGTCAGCCGTGCCGGTGACAGCGCGTCATCCCAACAGCAGCAGTAATAACCGCGCGCGTCGCAACAACAGCAACACAGCACGCGAAGCAGCAATTGGCAATGASAATAAATGCGGCGGTATGTGGCAAAAAGATGATTTGCAGCGCKGCGCGCAAACGCATGAAAAGCATAGTCCAACAATATAACGGTATGGTAGTGAAGAAAGAAGCTTCAGCAAATAAACAAGTACRTAAGCTTCAATATTGCTTTGACTGGCTAAGCGTGCGCGCCCGCGATAACGAGCGCTTTGCCGGCAGGCGCGCAATGAGCCAAAACCAATCGATAGTAGGCTGTGCGCGGGCAGACAAAATCGCCAGCTTTGGCACGCGCAACGTCGCGACGTTGGCATAAAAAGCGCAGCACAATAAACGCTAACTCGCGCTCACATGCTGYGTTCGACGAAGCTGCTGCCGCGCCGCTAATGACAGTGACAGTGACAGTGAATCGCACGTAGTGGTGATTGTGGCAGCGCCCGTGTTGCTCGCTGCTCGCTGCTTGCTGCTGGTTACTGTTATTGTTGTGTTTACGTGTTGTTGCACCTGCCTTGTTGGTGTAGTTTTGATTTCTGTTTGACTACTCTGCTGCGCGCTAGTATCGCTTGTTGTGTTTTCGGCGCTTATTGATTGAGCGACTCGTGCGTGTCGCTATTTCTGYCGAKACTTCGCGCTTGTGAATTCTCTTGCCAACTGCAACTCGCACCGTTACACCGATAATATGAGCGCATGCAATGGCAAKGCGTGTTGTGCAATTTCGTTATTCCCAAAGAAATGTTTRAAGAAATTTGTGCGGCTTMTGAATGAACTYTTATASCYCATATATGGCAAAGCATAGATTTCCTCATTGGAATGAGAAATATATTCAGTAATATTTGACTTTTCTAAGGTTAAGGTATGAGTTGAAGTCWCCTTAGTATTGAAAGTTTTTTGCCTGAAGGCTTAACTAATTTTAGGAGCATTTAAATTGGTACTGAATTCTTATTGGAAGTCTTTTCGTMCAGAAAATTCACTCGTCCTTGCCATTTATTTTTCAAATGGAGTATAATCTAGAAAGAATAATAATCTTTTGTTAAAAACGTAAATTTTGTAGTGCTGTCAGATAAGAAAAGTACGCCAAGATTCACTTAGCAGATCTGAGTTTTTAGTACGTTTCAAGACATAACAAATTTCCTCAAAAAGGTCTAAGAAAGTTATGTCAATATCTTAAAGATTTATAGAGAGAATGCGTCTCTAAATTTAGTGAAAATGTCAACTACCATACCGTTACCCAAAAATTGTGTCTATATTAGTATGGCTCCGGACCAGTTCAAAACTTAAAACAATATAGGGACATGAAGAAAAACATCCTTTATATTATATGTCATTGAAATGTGAATATCAATAAGCTAGACAGAAATTAAGTATTATAATGCAGAATTATAAACCAAGACCGTAGACAGAAATGATAGGGGTTATTCCAGAAATAGATAGAAAACAGTAAGAGCTAATGAGAACTGGGGAGAGCCAGTGAGAGTCTCTGAATACCAATGGGAACCAGAAGTGCGAGTGAGAACCATAAAGAGCCAATGAAGATCAGGAATAATCGAGGACAGTCGGGGTGACCCAATGAAAACTAGTGAGAAAGTGCAAGACACAGTAAAAACAGGTAGAAAGCATCCCAATGGAGGGAGCCAGTGAGAACCATAAAGAGCAAACTAGTGCCAGAGAAGAAAGGATGAGAACCCGGACACCCAGTGAGAATTGAAAAGGTATGTTAAAGAGTGTTATCAAGAGTGCCTGAGGATCGGGGAGAATCAGTGAGGGCCGACGATAACCAAAAATAGAGCAGAGCTAGGTAAACCAATAAGAACTGGGGACCAGCCTGTGAGAATCTGGGAGAGCCAATACGACGGGTGGAGAGCCAATAAGAGCCGCCAAGAACCAGTGAAGTCAGTGAAAACCAAGAAGAGTCAACGAGAACCAGAGAGAATCATGTTGAGTCGTGCATAATCTCAAAATGTCCTTGCTTGTCTGTTGAATCTCAAATATTATATTTTCCTCAAAGTATTTTTCAAAGCTCGAATGACCGCTTGACTGCACAAGTCTATAATACCTTAAATCAATACATTGTGCTCGRGTACAAATATCACAAATCAAATGACAGCTGAACCAAAGCTTTTAAACAAATAAAAAAATCGCAGCTAGTTGAAATAGAAATTACTTTTTTGGGCATACATAAATATTTATACATAAAATTTATAAGTAAAAAATATTTATTTTGTTTTTGTTTTTTCATTACTTGTCTGCATTACAGCATTCCAATACAAACACACCTCAAAGCATATTCTTCCTTTCTTCTTAACAGCATACAATGTACGCTTATACACATTAACACACATACACACATATGTACATATATTTATGAGTGTCTATAAGCAGAGATGTGTTCATACATATTGTCACCTGTCGCTTGTCAAGCGAACATTATAACATCGCCTTTCGGCATACATGAAAATAAAATCAGCTAATGAAAAAATCAGTACCCACAGMCACACACACACACACACATACCCATGTACACGGACGTTGAGACTGAAGCTGAGGCTGCGGCTGACGCTGATGGCGTTCACTTGCTTATTGCATATATTGATGTTGCTGTTGTTGTTTGTATTASTGTGATGCCACTCAAAATGTTACTGAGCTACTGGCAACAAATGTCATGCACAGTTATACATATATGTATATTTGGATGTACGAAAGTAGGTTTGTTTCGCTATTGCTCGCTTACGTTGTACCGTTGCAAACATTTTATTAACTTTCGTTTTCTTTTGTTTCGCTTCGACGTGATTCGACTTGCTTCGGTTTCGTTTGACTCCACTGGGAAGGCATGGGAATTATTGCAAAGTCTGCACAGAGGTCAGTCATTGATTTTGCACGTTTCGTAGCTGCCAATAACCAAAGCCAAATTCAATAACAAACACAGGTACAAATATGGCGTAATTTTTTTCGTAACAATTTGTATGACTGTGTTTGAAGTGCAAAGGCAACCAGCCGAAGCGCTGTGTTGTGAGCTATGGTAGGCAGGCAGGCGGGCGGACAATGGGAAGCTCACAAATTTTACGAAACTTCCAGAGAATTGTTGCCAGAGGCAATTTTATTTGAAAAATGGTAGCAAACTGTATTTTCAGGTATGAAGATAGGAAGGGCGGTAATAGTTCTTTAGTTTTATTTATATATTTTTTTAATGATCGGAATGGTTATATGTTAGAACAAGGAGAAAAGTTAGGAACTAATTTAGAAAGTACGTTTGTTTCATTTGTGCAAGTAATGACTCTCTATGTACTTTTTAAAACCACATCTTATTTCTATTGCTTCTCCTTTACMTCACAGTTTAGCTACTTAAAACTAAAGACTTAAGCGACAAACTTCACTTAACCATGGACATTAAAAGGTAGAAAAGGCTGAAACATAAATAATATAATATTTTGAATATTTTTTCTAACAATATTTAATAGAATATTTATAAGAAATATGATATATCAAATTTTGGATATATCGCTGGTATTTAAGTGGTTTAAATAAGCATTTCTGATGTTCTGTGTGAATGATTTGAACATTTTTAGACCACCATTTTTTAGCACTTTTGACGCAAATTCTTAGCAGTGTTTCAAACACAAGTTATGAATATATATTGAGAAGTGAAGCTTGACATTTTCTATAACTTTTTGTTTTGTTTTTATTTTTGTGCAATTTCGAAAGAAAAATTTCTGGCTTCCAATACTTTGTAACATAATTTAAAGAGGGGRAACATCTTATAATCTTCAAATTCATTCTTTATTCCGATATAAGTAAATTACATGTGATTATGTATGGAACTCGATATCTTTTGCATGGCCACCAAGGGCACGCTTGCATAAGTCCAGATGTGAYATTCGCTGTGTGTGACTTGTGGTGCCGTCTTGTCGGAACCACATATTGTCCAAKTCCATATCACTCAATTCGGGCCAAATATATTCGGTTATCATTGAGCGGTAGCGATTCCCATTCACAGTAATGTGTCGGTCTTGATCATCTCCGAACCAGTACTGTCCAATGATGCCGTTGGCCCATAAATCGCACCAAACCGTAATTTTTTCGGAACGCAATGTTGTCTCGTGGACTAGGTGTGCATTGCTGCCTGCATATTTGCTTATTGACGAAGCCATTCAACCAGAAATCAGCCTCAGCGCTAAAGATTACTTTTCGATGAAATCCGGGTCATTTTCAAGTTGTTGCTGAGCCCAATTCAAGAACATACAACGATTCTGGTGATTAAGCGGCTTCAGCTCATGCGTCAATTTCATCTTGTAGGGCTGTACAAGTATGTGGGCCAAGATCTTTTCGCAATTTTCGCCACAATAACGTCACAGAGATGCYCAGTCTGACTGTTTTGGCCGTCCTCAATTGATTCGCTTATTTTGTATTGTGGATGTAGATCTGACAGGAYKATTCTGACGACCATAAATTCGACGTAGCGCTATTAAGGTTAACCATTGACTCCGAATTTCAATAGTATTCTTTAATCCTTTCCATCATTTTTCCATCATGAAATAGCAAACCGTACCGAAGAGAAATGTCAAAAGAGCTGGAAAAAATATGGCGTCGTTTRCTATTCCTATCGGTCTACTTTTGTAGCGTYCTTTTCAAAACACCYTCCATATRTATACCTAATTTAAACTGCTYCTATCATACCATATATATATCCAATTTATAACCAAAAATAATATTTTGTGTCCATGTGACTAGTTTCTATTTTATATCGTTCATTTCCTGTAAACTTGCAATAAACGATGCTAGGTTATTTTGCAAAGAAGTGACTGTGGGATGATTTCTGTTGATACA